ATTTGCGATTATGATTCCCTGTTACCTGCATTAAGTGTCTGTCATGTAAAAACCATTTGCGATTATGATTCCCTGTTACCTGCATTAAGTGTCTGTCATGTAAAAACCATTTGCGATTATGATTCCCTGTTACCTGCATTAAGTGTCTGTCATGTAAAAACCATTTGCGATTATGATTCCCTGTTACCGGCATTAAGTGTTATTTATTTAATATTTATGGTACAATATCACCAATGTAATTTTGTGAAAGTAATTGCGCTGTAAAGAAATATTTTTTTGATCGTGAGAATTTTAAAATACAAAAAATACATTAACATTTTACTGTCTAGTCAACTGTGTTCTTATCTATTGTTATTTTTGCTGTTTTTATGTTTAATAAAGAGTGAAAGTTATATAAGTGTATAACTATTAAAACTCATTCAGACCCTTAGTGAATATTACATAATAATAGAATTAAAAACGCGATACTGAATTTTAAATTCCCGGTTTTATTGATTAAGTTTTAGTAATAATTGTACATCCGGTAGTACATCTATTGGCGTGGGAATTGAGATTATATTCCGCTGTAAGGCCCAAATATTTATATTTTTAAATTACAGTATACTGTAGTAGATATCAAAAGTTTTCACCGCATTTTTTTTTTTGTTAAAACTGAATGTTTTACCCTAAATTGACGTTCGCAATTAAATAAATTTTATAGTAAATGTAGGACTTACATCATAAATTTAGCTGCGTTTTGTACTATGGGACTGCTTGTTATGTATTAGTCAGCATTCGATGTAAGATTCCACTTAATATACTCATATGGAGTGGCACAGCGTAATACAACTGAAATAAAAGGAAATAATTAGATTAAGAAACAAGACATCACCTTTTTAGTTTTTATTCTTTGGCACCAGTTACAATTTTTGTACACCTCAGATAATAGCATTTTTAATTATTATGTCCTTAAACCTACATTAAAGTAAAAAACATTTATAACTATGATTGTCTGATATCTCCATTAAATACCTGTATGATTTGTATGATGGATACTTAATGCGGGTAAGTATCCATCATACAAACACATTTGTAATTGTGATTGTCCGTTGCTTGTCTGTCTATGATATGGTAAAAGACATTAATAATTATGATTGTATGTTGCTGCATTAAGTGCCTGCCCTATTCTGAAAATTCATTTCTGAATTTTTTATCCACTACACACCACCTCAAATTAATGAGGGAAAAATACTTGCTGCTGTCAGCCAAAGGTCTCGGGTTCGTTTCCCGGCGGGGGTGTGACAGCAGCAACAATTTTTCCCTCATTAATTTGAGGTAGTGTGTAGTGGGTAAAAAATTCAGAAATGAATTTTCAGAATAATATTTCATATAAAAACCATTTGTGATTATGATTCCCTGTTACCTGCATTAAGTGTCTGTCATGTAAAAACCATTTGCGATTATGATTCCCTGTTACCTGCATTAAGTGTCTGTCATGTAAAAACCATTTGTGATTGTGATTCCCTGTTACCAGCATTAAGTGTCTGTCATGTAAAAACCATTTGCGATTATGATTCCCTGTTACCTGCATTAAGTGTCTGTCATGTAAAAACCATTTGTGATTATGATCCCCTGTTACCAGCAGTAAGTGTCTGTCATGTAAAAACCGTTTATGATTATGACTGGCGGTTACCTGCATTAAGTGTCTGTCATGTAAAAACCGTTTGTGATTATGATTCCCTGTTACCAGCAGTAAGTGTCTGTCATGTAAAAACCGTTTATGATTATGACTGGCGGTTACCTGCATTAGGTGTCTGTCATGTAAAAAACACTTATGATTATGACTGACGGTTACCTGCATTAAGTGTCTGTCATGTAAAAAACACTTATGATTATGACTGACTGTTACCTGCATTAAGTGTCTGTCATGTAAAAACCTTTCTGATTATGATTCCCTGTTACCAGCATTAAGTGTCTGTCATGTAAAAAACACTTATGATTATGACTGACGGTTACCTGCATTAAGTGTCTGTCATGTAAAAGGCACTTATGATTATGACTGACTGTTACCTGCTTTAAGTGTCTGTCATGTAAAAACCATTTGCGATTATGATTCCCTGTTACCAGCATTAAGTGTCTGTCATGTAAAAACCATTTGTGATTATGATCCCCTATTACCAGCATTAAGTGTCTGTCATGTAGAAACGATTTGTGATTATGATTCCCTGTTACCGGCATTAAGTGTCTGTCATGTAGAAACTATTTGTGATTATGATTCCCTGTTACCTGCATTAAGTGTCTGTCATGTAAAAACCGTTTGTGATTATGATTCCCTGTTACCAGCAGTAAGTGTCTGTCATGTAAAAACCGTTTATGATTATGTCTGGCGGTTACCTGCATTAAGTGTCTGTCATGTAAAAAACACTTATGGTTATGACTGACGGTTACCTGCATTAAGTGTCTGTCATGTAAAAAACACTTATGATTATGACTGACTGTTACCTGCATTAAGTGTCTGTCATGTAAAAACCTTTCTGATTATGATTCCCTGTTACCAGCATTAAGTGTCTGTCATGTAAAAACCGTTTATGATTATGACTGACGGTTACCTGCATTAAGTGTCTGTCATGTAAAAGGCACTTATGATTATGACTGACTGTTACCTGCTTTAAGTGTCTGTCATGTAAAAACCTTT